TTGGCCACTGAATTAGTCAATACATTCATGGCTAGCCTTGTCTGCCACATTACATGACATTCCTCTGCATTATTCTGCCCCAAAAAACATGGTGCAGACGTCCCGCCGGGCAGATGTTTCAGTCTGTGATCCTGGCCTTGCTGCGCAAAGACACAACAACACACAGATGGTTTCCCTTTTCCCCTCATCACTATGTTTGATTGGAATTAGCTGCTGCTGCTGCACTTCATCAATTATGCAGTGAGGCAGTCTCATCATGTCTCTTCATTTGCATGCTGATGCTTTTCCTTTTAAAAGAAAGAGCCGGCCCAATGTGCTGGGAGAGACGTTTTACTGAGCATGGCGGAAACAATCATGACTCTGCTGATCGTCTGCATAGTGACTTCCAACAGCAGCCTCCTGTGTGAAAGTTGGGATCTCGTACACAACCATTCGCTGTTAACTCCTCCCTCCATGGACGTCTTCACGCTTTAGACAGTACATCACCTTCCTCCTTTACTCCCGTCATAACCACGGCCATCTGACGCGGGCTCACTGACCAGGCGGCTGTATTTTTGACTGGTTAGGACGTGCATCAATCTGGTTGAAGTAGTAGCAGTATTCTGCAGTTTTTCCCTTAAATATTTCATCAAAGAATGATCCAATGCTGCCATTGTTCTAGTTCTCAGCAGAATATTTAAACCAATACATTGATGTCTTATGACGATTGTTGTCGACAGATATGCCTGATGATCCAGATGATGACAGGTGACATAACTGTGTGACTACTCGACTCAAAAATCCACAGAAATAATGGGGACTCAATTTAACCATGAAGTAAAGTGAGAGAAATAATATCATATTAAGCAAAATCAATGTGTATTTTAAAGCAGGATAGTGAGTAAGTGACAAGCAGACCAAAGACACAACTCTCTTTGAGAGTGGATATATAATACAGTGAGCTACAGATCCATCCACAGATGAATTCAGATGAGTGTGATCCTCTCTTTCAGAACTCCTCGCCAGTCGAGCACACATACACAGCACTGGGAAATTACCCCTTTGTTTGGCTCTCGCGTTTCTCCTTTAACGTGTGAATTGGCTCGATTATACAATAAAAAAGTCGGGCTAATCCCTACATCCCACTCTGCTTGCCTCCGCCCGTCCTTGCTGTCCCCTCTGTCTCCCTTGCTGGATTTCCTCTGTTTTCCTGTCTTGCTGTGGGGGAAACAAAGGGAACAAAAGACTGAGAGGAGACAGTGAGCTTCTCATCCCCTGTAGTGGGAGGTGCGGAGCTCTCAGCAGAGCGCTGGGCAGACTGGTGGACTGGTGGTGCTCTGAGAACTAGGCCAGAGGACTGTTGACAGCACCCCAGAGTCCAAAGCCCAAAGTCAAGACCAGAAGAAACTAAGGATTATCAGAGGAAAGCCCATGATGGGAAAAGGGAAATATGGCCAATATATTGCTCAGTATCAGGAATGGAGGATTGTTATTGGAGGACAATGGAAGGGTCCCTGTGCACTGGGGGATTTAAGACAGGGATCATACACAGTTCAGCCATCAATTTGAAATTTTTACACTTCCCCCATTATTACAGCGTTTATTCAGAAGTGTCATATATGCAGACTGCAGAAAAACATCCAGACAAATCATTTAAAACTGATGGTTTTGCCCTAACCAATCAGCATTCAGTGACACATCTCATGTCCCTTTCTGCAGAAGCGGGTGTGGGGGACAATTATGTCACTGTCATGCAATTGTTTTCCCATAATCTCTTGTTTGATAGACGTGCGAAAATGATGTCCAATTCTTAATCCGGCCTTTTAACCGAAATTGGTCGACTGTTTTTCCCGACTGCCAGAAACTGCCGTCAATGGTCACAACGCCACTCCTACGTAGGTCCATCACTTCAGCAGCATTTGGAGCTCATTTTGAGCCAACAGGAAACCAAGTTTCTCAATGCATTATTAAACTAACCTTTTCATTTCATTAAGACTATCCTTGTTCGTTTCACACTATCAATCCATTTTTGACCTCGGAATGACCCAGAACTAAACACAAAATAACAAGATCTCAGCTCAGGGATCTGCAGCTTCCTCCCATCAACATGCGTAGACACGGATACCCACAATCCAGTGGCAAAACAACAATATTAAGCTTCTTTCAGGAATAATCACTGCATCTATAGTACCACTGAGGATGTATTCTTGCATTTAGAATGTGTGATTCCTGTCATAGACATGTGACCAGTTAGCCTGTACATGAAAGCAATCATACAGTCCAATGGATACTAATGCTGACTGTCAGTGATCATCTGCTCATAAACACTTTAATTCAACACGGCTATGGTCTGAGGAAGATCAAACGATTGACGCTCTGATAACCCAAGGGGTGAAGGAAAGGAAATAAAATCCACCAATGAAAGATGGTTCTGTAGAAATCAGGGAAAGCCCTGGAAGAAAGGAAGGAGGGAAGAGGGTGGGGGAGCCTTGGGTTAGAACTGAAGTCACAGCCAGACCAAAATCTCAATGCTGCCAGAACCCGGGAGGGTGAGAAGGAAGCAGGGAAAGTGAAGTGTGCCCAGTTGGATATTTCCCTCATATCATCCCACTCATTTAACCCCAGCGCATTGTGATGGTGCAGACTGAGTGCTTACAATCTGACACATGGTAATACCATTTTATTTGAATAAGCAGGGAGGAAAGATAAAGTTTTAGCAGCGATGTGTTTACAGTGGGATGAATCGGTCTACGTGTGTAGGAAATAATCATGCACGCCCTTTATTTGGGCTGGAATAGGAAGTGGTGATGTAATAACATATAATTCAAAAGCTTTTTTCTCACACTTGCTGTCTCCTGCTCTGTATCTCACACGCAAACACACACACACACACACACGCACACACATTGATGTATTTGCCCCTCTGGCCACTGTTAACTGCCCACAATCATGTGAGCGCAGTACGGTCGTGGTGTTTGAGCAGTCTGAGCTGAGACAAACACACTCTCACAGGCATATTCATGGAGCGTGCAGCGCACAGGCCGACGTCCTGAAACTGATTTTCAGAAGAATTCACCAAGCGTATCTTTGACCTCTGACAGACAGACCCGGTCTTTGTAAGATCATTTCACCACACAGATCCATCATTGACACGTATTGCAGTAACCATGTTTGTGTTGTGCACAAGAGACGAAAATGTGCTGTATTTAGATAATCCATTGACTGCACCTCTTGGAATCAGATTGTAGATATTAGAATTTAATTTGCAAGTTTTTCTATCTAAAAAGTAGTTTTTCCTCATTTTTCACAATGTCCTCCTTTTTGCATGGAGAGGTCGGACCATGAAGGGGGACTGGAGGAAATGAATGGTACACACACTGTCACTGAGTACGTTTCCAGATAACTTAAACAGGTTCAACGGCTGCTGCCTGTCTGCTCCTTCAGCTCAGGTGACTTTGTTTACTCGAAGTGTTTAAAGGAGCCCGTGATTTAAAGTACGCTACCTCGCTGTGTGTTTGTGCGTGTTTGGGAAATTGTCAATTACCAATCATGATTTGATCACTTGCCACCAGGTTCTTTTACTGGATTGAAATGTGCGAAATATGCTAATAGATGGTGGCTCGTGTGTGTTTGAGGGGGAGGGAACGGGGCACTTCAAACGGCCTGCAGGGGTGGGGGGGCAGCACGCTCAACATTTGTGTGTGTGTGGATGGTGGAGGGGGAGCTTTTGGTACCAAGGGGAAACGGGACTGTGATTTTAGAACAAATTAAGCCACATCAAACAGGCCAGATCAAAGGGTACACAACCCTCACTGTCTGTGGCAGTCTGACATCCCGACAGGATGCCCCGGCACACACACACACACACACACACACACACACACACACACACACATTTCCTTCCTACTCTCCGCCTTTGTTTTTCATGCTTCATCATTCTCTCCTTATCCTTAAATTTCCTTTATATTTCACCTTGCAAGATTCCTCGTATCTTTCTGTGCCTGTAGCTTGTACTTCATATAACCCCCCCTCCCCATGCCCCATGCACACATTTGCAGGCATTAACAGGGTTGTAGGTTAACCTGGATCAAGTCTAATGTAATGTGTGCTGAAGCTGAGGCTCGTGTGTGATGGAGCAGTCTTTCAGCCTCCAGGAGGGCTGGGAGGGTGGGGGTGCAGCGTGCATTAGAGACGGCTTCGGCACTGAATGAAGTTAGCGATGGCGGCTGCGGGGGGTCGGGGCGCTTTGATGCTGCCTGATGATCCTTATATGTATATATATGCGTGCGTGTCTGTGTTTTGGTAGACAGATGGGATGAAGGAGGAGAGGAGGGGTGGCAGCTTTTTGGGGGTGGATGAAGGAAAAAAGGTGGAGAGGGGTTGAAGCCAGGGCGAGAGGATAGTTGAGGTGTTTTTGTGTGAAAAAAGAGAATATCAAATTGGATCAGACGACAGAAGCTTATAATGTGTAAGAGATATGATATGAACCTGCGGCGGTTCAGGAGGAGAACAGAGAGTGTTTGATCTGGTTTTTGGCAGAAATGGAAAATAAAAAAACAAAATAAGTGTTTTCAGTGTATAATGACCCTCAACCTAAGAATCGTTGTGTTTTTGTGTCCTGAGAACGAACCTTTTCAATCTACTTGGAGGGAGTTGGTAATGTTGCACTGCCATGTTTCTGCAGACTAAACATGGGTACATGAAGGCCGTTATGTTATAAATTGGGTGAGCAGATGGGCTTTAATTTGAATGCAAACTACAATCTCGCATTTAGAGAACACTGAGTTCTACACAATGCTCCTTAAAGTACAGTACTTGAGTAAGTTCATTTCCACTAAATGTGTCCTAATGAAACCAAATCCAGTGTCATTTGCAAAACATGTATTCGCAGTCTCTCTATTCCTCCCTCGTTCGCTCTCTTTCTCTGCCTTCGTGGCCCCCCACTGTGTGTGTGAGATACTTTATTAATCATATCTGATATTTGTGAATATTAATATCCATTGTTGTCTGTGTATTGCCAGTGCTCCTATCCTGTGTGGGAGGACTTCACCGCCAAGGCCACCAAGCTGCATTCCCAGCTCCGGTAAGTTCCTTTGATAGCAAAACAAAATAAAACATTAATAAGGACTGTGGGTGAGTGGGAAGCACGGTCGAGCTCCAATCAGAAGGTTGGCGGTTCGATCCCAGGCCCGGCTAGGTCGATGTGTCCTTGGGGCAAGACACTTAACCCCAACAGTGCTCCTGTAGCTGTGATAACAATGCCATCACTACGTTACCAATCAAAGAACCGACTATGGAAAATGCAACTTCAAATTCTAACCATGTTATCCAAAAGCATTAAGTGTCTTCTTTCCATCTAGAACGACTGTGCTTGCTGCTGTGGCCTTTCTGGATGCCTTTCAGAAGGTGGCAGACATGGCAACCAACACCCGAGGTAGGGTAACAGCTGTGTGTGTGTGTGTGTGTGTGTGCGTGTGTGTGCACACGTGTCAAAGACAGAGTCAATCCCCAGCTTGTTTGTGTCCCCTTGCCAGTGTTGTGTTGTCCTGTGCTCCTCTGAACTACCCTGAACTTGGCGGCACTATTAGGATTCCTATTATGTTACTGAGATGTTATCAACCAGCGGAATTCTCCTTTTACTGATGAAAGTAAAACAGCCTGAAGGTACACTTTGTGCAGAACTTCAAAGCTGTTTAACTGCCTTGTTTACAGGCAATGCAATCTGTTTGTGTAGCAGGACGGATTCGGTGGGTTTTCCTTTCCTGTTAAAAACATCTTAGTGTTTTTCCATAGATTGTCTTTAACAAATGGAAGTAGTCAATATGACATCACCCTTTTTTTCCTGAACTGCTGCTTTTTCTGCAATTTGGTCGTCGCCATCTTGTTTTATAATGCAACCAGAAGGGAAACCAGAGGGTGGAGCTTAGAATAACCCAGAGGGTGGAGCCTAGAATAACCCAGAGGGTGGAGCCTAGAACAAGCCATTTTTAGAGGAAGAATATTCGTCAACTTACTGAAAACATACTGTGATAAAGTTTGAAGACGTAAAACTACAATATTCCGGACAACGCCATAGTGACCTGTCAATCATAAAGCAGCCTCAGCCCTCTGTTTTAAAACAGTTATAGTTTTCTCACTACATGTAGAGTTAACTTTGCAAGCGTAATTGCTTTACTCTCACAATACCATCTCTCCTGGGGCCTCCCAGCATGTGGTAAAAAATGTGCATTTAGGCTATCATTACATTGTGGCAATGTGTTTTCTACCCCCCTGCTGTGTGCAACTCCTGGATTATTTTAAAACTGAATGCAAACTCAGCACATTTGCACACTCAGTCCAAAAAACCCCACACTGAATTCATGGTCAATGGATTTGTGTTTTATGGCTTTGACATTGTCGACATTCCCTGCGTAGGTTTTCAAGCTGGCCGCTAGTTTGAATAGACTGCGGGCTGAGAGCCGTGAGGGTCAGACCAACACTCGCCGCCCACTGGAGGCCATCTGAACAGTGAATACTAAAGCAGCACTGAGGGAGGAGGGGGAACCCAGAGGACGACTTCATCCTGCTGTCGGTGCTTATTAGGTGCAGCTGCCACGCAGTCAACAGCACGCTGATGTGTGCGTGTGCGGCACCAGGTGGGCTCCCACCAGAGGAGGATACAGGAAGAGGCTGGGGCTGCTTTTAGGGGCTAGACAGGAAGTAGCAGAGCTCAGTCAGCTCATTACACGACGACATTAATCCCGGAGCCACATGCGCACGCACAGGAAAGAATATAACTGAAATGACGTTTGCGCGACGAGGCAGGCTGAGATGCATCACAGGCTCTTGTACTTTCGGTGCTGATGAGTCAGTCCTGCTGGAGTCCATTTGTCACATCGCTGTACAATCGCTGCTCTTTCTCAGTGTGTGATGTTCCTAATAGATCCTTTAAATGGATGGTGGCAGAAGACACTGCTGATAATGGCGCTCTCTGTCTTTCTGCCATTCGCTATATCAATGTGCCACTTATAACAGCTTGTGTGTCTGTGTGTGTGAATCAAGCCCAAAGAGTACTGATGATCCCGTGCTGTGCTCTTGTACCAAGGCTCTCCCATTTAGGAGCCTGCATTAGGTGTGTTTTCATTCAAGGTTCCAAACACATTTTGTTTTAACCAAGGTGCACTACTCAGCTGGGAAGAAATAAAAAAACTGGCATTCTGCGAATACCCAACAAGCAATATTGCTTTTAGTGCGGAGTGACATTTAGTTTTGCCATCATATTGGATACAGCTAGGCGTGGTCCGCCGAGGGTGAATTGTGTGTTTAATAGAAACGTTAAAAACTAAAGATATGTTACATTATTTTCTGTAAGATTCATAGAAAAGTGATTGCACACGTCGCACAAAGCTGTATAGTCGTTCTACAGACTGTGTCTGCTGACCAGTGGGAAATATTCATGGTCACGGCCACTCCTTATTTTCTGCTGTAGGGCCCCAGATATATTCAGATGTCCATCTCGTTAAAAAAAGGCATCATGAAGGTGTGAGAACGAGGGTGATTTTGTCTGGTGCTTGTGATAGTGTGTGTGTGTGTATGTGTGTGTGTGTGTTTGTGAGAGAGGGTGAAATCAAGTAGGAGAAAATGTGCAAGTGGTTGTGAAATCTGCCGTGAGAGGTGAATCGAGTGTGCTTTTAGATGCCTTCTCCACTCCCCTCTTATAACCCTGTGGGTGTGTGTGTGTGTGTGTGTGTGTGTGTGTGTGTGTGTGTGTGCGTAACAGCATACCACAGTAAAATAGAAGCACACAAACAAACAAACACACAACTGCTGCCCTGATGTGGGTAGATAGAGGCCTTGTGTGTGTGTGTGTGTGCGTGTGTGCGTGTGTGTGTGTGTGTGTGTGCGTGTGTGTGGTGTTTCCCACGTTTAAATATCCTTCCATCTCGCACTGATTAACAACTCTTCATCTTGCTCAGTGAGCACTCAGTCAGGCATTGACATACATCTCTAATTTTAACAACATTTCTTGTAAGAACTTTCTGATAAAAGCTAGAACCACATGAAAGTGAGCGTGTATACTAATTACTCCGCTATTACATTTTAAGTAGCCAATATTCCTTTTTAACAAACTTTTTTTTTTCCGACGAGTCATGATTGAGTTTTGATGAGAGAGCCTGTTCAGATGCTCTTCTATTCATCTAAAACAGACACATTCAAGATGAAAACAAGAGGCTTTTGGTTTGATTTGTAAGAAATGTGGCTGCTAATCAGACCTTTGTTGCGTACAACACTGTATCCATGCAGTTTCTATACAGCTTCTCCTCAGGGGTCGCGGGGCGGCTGCAGTCGATCCCTGGTGCAGTGCACACTGGACTGGTTACTAGTCATTCACAGGGCTGACATAGAGACACACACTGTCCCTCTTCATGTTGTACGTACATAATCATGCTGATTGTATGATATAGAAATATAACTACCAACTTGTACCTCACTGAGACACCGCTGGCTTGAAATGAATTTATTTAAGAATATGAAACGCTGCTGAGCAGATGAATATATTTGAGAAAACAACATAAGTCTGAGATTCACTTTTTAAATGTGTAAAGTCAGCAATGTGGAAAGCCAGTGCTTAAAGGTCCTGGGTGGGTTTTGTTTAGTTCAGTAAAACTAGAAAAACACGTGTGCACTTTTTTCAGTTTTTTCAGTTTGACTCATTAAGTCTCTCTCTCTTTATTCCCATGATGACAATAGTGATGATTACGATGATGATGTTGCATCTGGTTATAAACTCCCTCTCTCTTTCGGGTGGAGGTGGCGCGTGGAGTAAAGAGGTTTGCAGTCTGCAGAAGAGAGAGAGATGATTGAAATGACGATCTGATGGTGCAGAGGCTGCCCGGCTGTGTGGTTTGCATCTGCGTCATAAATCATATTAAATTAGACACACGCACACATATACACACACACAGAGAGGCTGCGATGCATATAAGCACATGCCCCCTTTAAGTCTTTAGTTGTAAGACCTAGGAACGCCCCCCCCCCCCCAAGAAGAAGAAAGAAAAATGACAGAGGAACCACACATCTTTTTATATATACTATATACTATTATATATACATGTCAAAAGTCTTTTAATACATGCCACTGTGAAGGTTGGTGATTGTATTGACTCGGGAATGCAGGAAGATGCAAGTGATGTCAATCAGATCAGCATTCAGCATATTCACAATCTTCTGACTAAAGAAAGCCAAGTTCACACCTGCGTTGTGCGACTGACCGGCTGCTTTTCATCCAGTCTTGAGAGCATTTTAGGAAGCCACAGATTTGGGGTGTAAACACATCATTTTAGTGTCGGAAACCTCAAATCAAAGAGCGCTACACTGGATTACACGCAGCCCTGTTGCTCCATGGTTTTATATTCTCCTGCCGGACGCCAACACACACACATGCTGCTTTTTCATGACATCCTATACACTTGATGCTGTGAAATGATTCCCAACTGCACATAAAACGAACAAGAGAGAATGTTTAGTTTTCTGCCAAACAAGAAGTCGGCAGATGTAACTTCAGATAGAGGAAAGGAGTAAAAATAGCCTGGAAAACTCATTTCCACCATGTTTATCTTCTTCAATGAAACCAACGGAAGGGAGCTGGGGGGGCAGGAAGCAATAAAGTTTATGGGAAATGTGGTCTTGATTTTGAGAAACACTACCACCGAAAATACTACTGCTGCGAACATGAATAGAGAAAGTATTGAAACTCCTACACACAAAAAGAGGAGCTCATTGATTTCCTCGACAGAGAGCCTCTGGTTTGAGGCGGAGCCTGTTACCACCTCTGTTACGCTCCGATCGTTCCACCATTACTTTTAGTTGTTTAAACCATCGCTGAGCTGTTGTTGGTGACGGTTTCCCAGCGTTAACCAGTCATGTTTGGACAGGCTCCCGTTGCATGAAGGTTAACAGTCCTTGTGGAGAGCAAAAGAGGCGGAAATCATTGGCTTGAAATCCGTCGGCTATTGTCCACGATGATCGCTTGAACTTAAGTTCCTTATAAACGTATCTGCACTCGTATGCGGTTATCTGTTAAAGATCGACAGGGGACATTGACTTCCAACTCTCGGGCTATAAACGATGAGGAACGGGGAACACAAACCCTAAATCGCCGTGCGGCTCGATGTCACCATTTCTTTTAGTGAATTGTTTAAACTTTTTACTCATCGCTTATTTGAGCAAATTCTCTTTATTAATTAAAGCTTCTCTCAGGAACGGTTCATTGACACGCGGTTGTGAAAGAAACACAACGATGTAACAAGTCAGCAAAAAAGCAAATTGTTCAGCACTCCTTCATTGACTAGCTTTCCATGCTGGACGCACTCATGACTCCTGGGTGGGAGGAAGAGCCGGAACGCTTCAATATGAGGCCACTTAATACCGCTACACACACACACACACACACAC